TACTATACGTTGGGTTTTGTAAAATCCTTATGTTTGATTTCAAAGTATCAAGATAACCCACAAAGTTATCACACTCTCCCATAGAGCGGTTTCATTGCACACTAACAGAAAAGTTAAAAATACTTATACAAATATCCCCAAAAGAAGCCGTGAACAATTCAGTTATCACTGCTGTGATAATATATAAAGTATTCATGCTTCTACTGGTCACACCCCTTTCAATATACAGGGTGTCCCACGGTGGATGGCGTATTAGACGTTAAAGGAGAACTAAAAAGCGGATCATTATGAAAATTTGGCAACCGGGATAAACAACCATAATCCACACTTTAAAAATATTTTTGTTTATGCGGTGTTGCCGGAATGGAACACCCTGTATGTGATTGCATATTTGGATTCTACGTTAAATTCTGAAAAGATTGTATGTGATATTATACCCTATACCTAAGTTCAACTGTTTTGGAAATATTGATAGTTGAAAATTGACTTTTTGCAAATTTGACAGGCTGTAAAACCTAAACGGTTAATTTTAGAGGAAAACCGATTTTACATTCCTATCTTAGATTTTCATAAACTATCATTTGACACCAACTTTGAACTTAACCGGAGATTAAATTTAACTGGAATTTTTAATCATGGATTTAATTCAAAGTTGGTTGCAAATGATAGTTTTAAAAATCTAAGATAGGAATGTAAAATCGGTTTTCCTCTAAAATTAACGGTTCAGGTTTTACAGCCTGTCAAAGTTGCAAAAAGTCAATTTTCAACTGTCAATATTTCCAAAACAGTTGAACTTAGGTATAGGGTATATCACATGAAATCTGCTCAGAATTTTACGTAGAATCCGAATATGTAATCACATGCAGGGTGTTCCATTTAAAATAGCGATGTTGCTACTAGTTTAGAGTAGAAGCGGCAACACCGCATAAACAAAAATATTTTTACAGTTTAGATCATGGTCATTTATCCCGGTTGCCAAATTTTCATAATGATCCGCTTTTTAGTTCTCCATAAACGTCTAATACGCCATCCACCGTGGGACACCCTGTATATACTATATGGACCTCACGCTACACACCCGCTTTTGATGAGGATTTTCCTGTATGTGATTATTACGTTCAACAAAGAAAAATGGAAATGCATTCCTTTTTTGATCATGTACATAGAAACACATCTTCTCGAATGATCAGTAATCTGGACAAGACAAATAGAAATAGACAAGACTATACTCATGACATACAAGAAAATGCTCGGGAATATTCCTTCCTAAAGCAAAATATAACCAATTATCCCCAAACAAACCTCTTATTGTTAATCAACAAACCGGAAATACCATTCAAGCTAAGGATTCAAGACAAAAACCTAAAATGAATGTTAAGTCCCTTAAATGTTTAAGAAAAACTAAATAATTCCCTTGTTGCAGATTGGCAGTGCATGCCCTAACCACTTCTACCCATTCACAAAGGGTGCAATGTTTAACAGATGACCATAACAGTTCCTATACATACTTTTATCTTTTACCGCCCAAATTAATAATGACTCGAATCTTGCAAAGTCAGCCCTGAATAGAATAAATCAAAAGATTGATGAACTAATTTCTGCAAACTTGTACATCGATCACATATCTTTGTTAGCAGAGTTCTTATAAAAATCACAGTCACAATTAGCCTTTCTCGTCTAAATTTGGTCAATATTGAATTTTGAAATCACTCTTATAGAGACTAAATTGTTACAGACTTATCATGAGGACCAACTTCTATACTCTATAAACCATCCTTATGAGCTATTAGAACAATCAACCATAATTACATACATGCATAATATTGTCCTTCGCTTTATTTTAAAAATACCAATTTTAAAGGTACAAGTCTAATCACTTTATCAGATATTTGCACCTCCAAGAGTAGTTGATACAATGCTACTTAATTCTACTAAATTTTATTCCAATAAAGTTTTATATGATAAGTGCATCTTGCACAAGGAAACAAAATATATTTGCAGTAATCCTAGACGAAGCAATTGCAGTTTCGATCAACAAATAACAAGTTGTCTGCATGTCAAATTACTGCATACAATGGACTACTACAAGATTACGCAGAACTTCGTTCTCATTACAAACAGAGATCCCGCGACCAGTGGATGTCCTACTTCATGGAAATGTAACATGTACAGGGTGTCCAAGATTCGATGGTTTTGGGGCAGGGCCGGCTCTAGGTATTTTGCCGCCCTGGGCAATCAGTAAATTTGCCGCCCCATCTTATGACACGCTTAGGAAAAATGTGAAAGATCTTGGATTGTAGAATTTTTTTTTTATAATAACACGAAACAGTAGCATCATAGCAATAAAACCACGCTCTTTATTATTTGTGTTAGGTAACCACACAACAAAAAAAAATAACTTAAGAAAACAAGAAACAAAAAAATAAAGTGAAAGTCAGCCAATCCAAACTATTGGCAACAATCAACAAATGTAAATATAGCACAGAAACGTTTCAAAAAATTATCCAAGCGTACGTCAGAACGTTTCATAAACGTTAGTTAAAGTCAAGGAATATACACACCTGCAGGATTGCTTATCGGCCTCGTTTTTGGTAATCGCCGCCATATTGGGGTGTTACCATTTCCGACGTCATCAACTAAGTTGTCAGCTATTTACGTCAAGGCGAGAAACGCTATGCTGCTCACGTCACAACTGGTAATTTGGCGTGGGGGGAAGGGATTTGTTACAGACAGGCCTCATGAGGCTAGGCCATCCTTGTAGTAGTATTTGTAGTAGTGTGTATATTATCCTTGAGTTAAAGTAACTGAGAACATCCAAAGATGCATTTTGATTTAGTGCAAATTTCACATGTCACAACTTCAAACGTCACGTTTGATACGGATGTTTTGAAAACGAAAAAGGACCTTTTTTAAAGGCCTCTACAAACATTCACTGGACTTCCTTCAAAGTATCCAACACCATCCAAAAGACTATTTTATAGGTAGTGCAAATATCACAGTCACAAACAACCTTTTAAAAACGTCATTCGAACTAATTTCCCGACGTGTGGACGCGGGATACATGTTTCAAACGATATTCTTGAAAATTACCAACAGAAACCTTTATAAAACGTCTCTCTTATGACTTTTTATGAAAACATACTTCTACGAACCCATAGAAAACATTCTGTATTCTGTCATTCTTTAATTTTTTCTAACAGAGGTTTTAAAATCAATGTAAATTGAATGTCTAAAGAACATCTTTTTTATACCTTTTTAAAAACACTCGGACATGGACATTACCTACCTACCTTTCAAGACGTTTGCTGTTATTGGTTTCAAAAACGTGCTAAAACCAGTGCCGACGCGTGACAAGCAGTTTGAGGAGGGGGTAAATGGTACGAGGGGTTGAGGGGACGCCCCCCGCAAACGCGGCGCAGGCAATTTTTTTGCAAATTTCAAGGTTTTCCAGAACAATTATTTCCTTTGTGAGAAAAATAAAATTAAAAAAAAATGATTTTTTTCAATATATTTGTATTTTCTTTTGAACATCGTGATTTTTCTCTTGATAATTCAATCCTGGGGGGGTAATTATCCCCATTGGCACTTCACATCTAAAGAATTTTCATGCATGAGAACATACATATTATACATTTTTGCAATATTCTGATGTCTCTTCTAAATTAAGTTTTTTTTGTAGTAAATGTACAGTCCGTCAATTTTAATCTGATACTTCAAAGGAATGTGAGCTGATGGCTCTCTACGTTAGAACGCCAATGGTCACCTGACGCCACACCTGTTTTTGCCATATTATGCTTCACCCCCTCGCTCCTCATACGGAAAGTGTTAAATTAAAAACGACGGACAATATATCATCTCGGATATGATATAATGGAGTTCAAATATTGGTTAAAATACCCACTGTGCTGTTTTAATTCTTCAATTTTTTTTTTTTTTTTGAGTCGTTGGTTTTATTTTCTATAATTTTTTTGTTGTTATGGTATGAATTTGCCGCCCCTGGATCGTGCCGCCCTGGGCGGCCGCCCATCTCGCCGCCCCCTTAAGCCGGCCCTGTTTTGGGGGGTTTCAGGTATTTCAAGAGAAGGTGGAAAAAATCTGACCCCCACTTGCGAGCCTCGATTTTTAAGAGAAATTGACTGTTGAGAACCGCATCTCGATATGTCGAGTCGTTTTTATGCTACGAGGTGTTTTTGAAAAGTTTGGAGTTTAGCAGGGGGGTTATAACTTTTTTATTTATGAAAATTTGGTCAACTTTTCCTCTTGTAGCTTAAAAACGAATCGAGATATCGAGGTGCGGGTGTCACCGATCAATTTCTCTTGAAAATTGAGGCTCGCAAGTGGTACCCGAAACCCGCTAAAACCATCGAATTTTGGAATGCAGTGTTGACCCGTTGTCGTATCAGCTTCCACAAGTCGCTACCGCCGTCATTCCAGATTCACTTGGAGAAAAACCGCATAACCAGAGGTACTCATTTAGAGGCTGTTCAAAGAATCACTCTGCCCGAAGTAGGCTCCTGGACCGCGCAGTCAGTCTGCGGTTTTCTGTTCTTAACTTTACTATTTGTAGTTATCAAACGCAAGCGAATTCACCGCCTGTAGTTCATAGGATCAAAGCCAACCGTCGCTGCCCTACGCTCCGTTCTAAGGGGGAAAGAGTTATGTAATCAGCTCAAACTCGATTTACCCGACATACCGTTCCAACCGTTAGCCACCAGTCCATCTACCGTGGACCCTAGATCCGACGTTAGTTGAACACAGTCGGCATGAATTAATAAATTAATAAATAGTAGGAGGATGTAACTAAAATTAATTCTATTATTTCTATTTCTACCGCTCATTGTAATCAGTACATTTGTAATAAAAGAAGTTTGAAAATTCCATTCTTGGAATAAATTATTTAATTCAGGGCACAACTGCAATATAAAAAAGTGATGAATTTTCAAAAAGACTATATTGATAATTATTTCTTGTTAAATATGTATACCTTATGTTTTCTTTAGATCTGGACAATTGGCTGAAGAGTGCAATGGTGGACGCCCCACCGTCAATGCTTCAAATAAAACTGACCACAGCATATGCTTTCAGTTCCGGTTTGCAAGCCCACACCAAGCTCAACCACGTAATGCAAGCTTCTAAAGCTGTTTTGCAAAACCGAATCAGAACTGGACAAATGTTGGCTGATTTGAACAACGTCGATTTCAAGAGAATTAGAAAACAAGCAGCTTGGGTAAGAATTTGAATGTTTAGAAAATATTTTTTTATCATGGTCTATTCGATATGGTCAATATTTGACCGTGTATTGAGTATTGTTCTATTATGTTAAATTTTCAATCTACAGGCCCACTGCCAATGCACAAAAAATGCAATGATAGTATGCGCTTGCCCTCTGAGGTCTAAATTTAAAAAATGTGATATTTGTAGTATTTCAAGGAATAAATTTAAGCCTAGAGATGAAAAATTATGGGATCATGATCATTTAACTGATAAATTTAGGGGTTCAGCTCATAGCATCTGCAACTTGATTTTCGGAATCCGTCTTACATTCCAGTGTTGTTGCTTTTTCGCAACTTAACAGGCTATGACAGCGATTTATTTATTTATTTCTTTTGCTTATTTTCTGAATGCTTGTCAACACCAATGCCATGGTCAGATGATATGATTGAGATTTTCGATCAGCTAACTTCTTGTGTCTATCAAAATAACATTTTTTAGAAATGTTTTCTCCCAAAAATTTCACTTCTCCTGATGGCTACGAATGTTCTACTTCCGGAACTAGCAGCACATTTCAATCAGATCACTGATTACTGAACGACTTATTTTCGTTGTCAAATCTATTGCTAAAGTTCAAAATTTCTCTTCTTCACAATAGTACCTAACATATTTCTTTTTTCAGTTTTTTGGATGTCACGATGAAATTATATCTCGTTTCGAGAACGAGTTCAAGCTTAACTTGCAGAAGCAAAGCTCTTTGGAGGACTGGACATGTTGGCTGGAGAGTGTGACGAAAAGTGCATTGAAGCCTTATGAAGGTCTGCCGACTTTTTCGAAAAGAGCAAGAGAATTAGTGATAAAATGGAGTTTTTTCAGGTATTACTAAAGGGGTCACAACGAACTCGACATTATAATGCATTCCAAGCTCTTTTCCAATTATTTCTAGTAAAAACTTTATTCTAGATGGGTTGGTGGTAGTTAGAAAAAGATACGTTTTAGTAGTTATTATTTTCTTATTCGTTCACATTTATTTCAGCTGTATGGTAATAACGGATCTCAGTTTTCGTTCAGCAATAACCTTTGGATCGTTTCATTTGATTCGTTTGCTAAATGATGAGTACATGACTCACATAATCAAGAATCAAATTGCTAGAGCCACTGGTCTACTTCCTATCGCTGTCATGTTGGAGGACACTGTAAGTACCTAATTATTGCTTAACTTTTATAATCTGTTCGGCATCGGATCGGAAACATACGCGCAAATTTTCCATTTTTTCATTTCCATTTTAATAATAATTAGTCGTGTTTGATAAAAACAATTAGTAATCAGGTAAACTTTGTTTCACGAGGGATCATACTTTCTGCTTTCCTTTTTTAATGACGTTGAAAACGTTCGTCGGCTCTTAAACCAGAAACCATTCATTTAACCCTTTTTTCTCAAGTTATGACGCGTTCGATCTCAAAAGTATGAACCCTGGTGAAACGATTTGTACCTACTAACTTCCAGCATTTTCAACTCGAACTCTATTTATAGAAAGAAGACCTCGTGCAAAATCACCCAAGCGTGTACGGCGCCAACGAGCCGTATTTCTTTCCGACTGATCAATCTAGGATGTAGTAATATTTATTTTAATTATGTTATTGTTGAACCCTTATTTGTTGATAATAGTTTGTAGTTCTATTTAAAGAGTTTCTGTAATAAAATAGTTATCTAGTAATTTACTTCTACTTATCATTTTTATTTGAAATAATTAACATCAATCTATGTACCTAGTTGTTATGACCATAATATATTTATATTGATTTGTTACATACTTACCTTCATTTATTTATTCCAACCTACCTAAACTTGAGCTATACACAAGACTGATGTGCCGGCTCCTAGTTTTAACATAGTTATGTAGCTACATTACTACATTACTACGATACAACGAACAATGTGACTGCAACCATGAAAAAATAGATCTACGAAATTCAAAAGAAGTAGGTGCAGTATTTTCACAAATGAAGTCCTAGTACATCCCTGTAGGCTTCAGGCAAGTAAGTAGTGGCGAGTGAAGCCGGTTTTCGCAAGTTTTTTGGCCACCAAAATAATGATGGTTCGGCCAAAACCCCGCTAAATCGTTGTCCGAGAAAACCATTTTAATGTTTCGCTTCTCGAGTTCCTGAGCAAAAACAGCTGCCAAAAACTGTTCATTTTGGATTTTGTTTCAGTAAGTTTTGAGATTTTCTTCAGGATTATTAACCTACAACACGTGTTTCGTTTCTTCAATAGGACTGTTCCGAGCAGCTTTTGGAAGTTTAAGATTTCGCCTTTGGCCTAGAATATCCCTCACTTTGAGGTAAGATTATTTCTAATGTTTGAGGCTCGACTTGTTTTTTATACGAACATCGTTATAGGGTGCTAGGCTATACTTAGAAGATCCTAGGTTGTATCTAGACAGGTTCTAGGCTATATTTGGAAGATTCTAGGATATATCTAGACAGCTCCTAGGCTGTATTTAGAGAGATTCTAGGCTGGATCTAGATTGCTCTCAGTTGGGGCTTTGGTAGCCTTCCTTCAGCAACTCTCTTGGTTCCACTTTGATAGAACCACATTGAGTTCTACGTTAAACAGATACAACATGGACAGAACTCCTAACTCACTTACCATAGTTACCATACCATAGTCTATCTACAGTGGGACCAAACATGTAGATAACCGCACTTTAGGAACTTCTGGATTTACACATACATTTGAAGATAACTAACACTTGTATACATGTAAGTTACACTTTTTACTATTTAGGCAAATCTTATACAGGTCTTTCATTTCAAAACTTGCCACCCACGTTATCTGCGTAAAGAAGCATATTTGCGAAAATCGCCGAAACACGTCAACAAATTTATTGAGGGGGGAGGCTTTTTACGGAAAACTGGACTTCGCCCCTTCAACTCCCTAAGCCCTAGAGCTACCAACTCAAAATTTTCAAATGAGACAACGAATCGAGTTATAGATCATTTCACAGGGCTGTTTAATCTGTACATTTTGCCATCCTATTTTTTAAATTTGACCTCACTGTTGCAGAATAACACCCATTTCAATGTTCAAAAATGCCTATTTATCCCTAAACACACCTGCTTGTTTACCTGTTGCTGTAATGAAAAGGTAGGTAAAAAAGCAGGTGTGTTTAAAAATAAATAGGCATTTTTGAACATTGAAATGGGTGTTATTTTGTAACATTGAGGTCAAATTCAAAAAATAGAACGGCAAAATGTACAGATTAAACAGCCCTTTGAAATAATCTATCACTCGACCCCCTGTCTCATTTGAAAATTTTGGGGAGGTAGCCCTAGGGCTTAGGGGGTCGAAGGGGCGAAGTCCAGTTTTACGTTAAGAGCCTTCCCCCTCAATAAATTTGTTGACGTTTTTCGGCAATTTCCGCAAATATACCTTTTCACGCATATAACGTGGGTGGCAAGTTTTGAAATGAAAGCCCTGTCACTTGATACTGAATTACGTTCGGTAAGTGCCCCTTAAATAAAATTCTAGAATTTTACCTTGAGGTTGCCCTGACAATAATTTTCACCTTTCTGGTGTTAAATTTGCCTGCTGGTAGAGTGTAGCTCAAACTGTAGTCTTTCATATTTCACAAGTGTAAATACCAAACAGTTTCAGTCATGTTTATTTAAAATTTATATTTATCTATACACTATTTACATTAATTTTTTTCATAATCAAATATTTATAAATTGGTACAAGCCATAATCTATACACATTTTTAACAACGTCCTGGTTATACCTATTTAATATTGTAATTATTTTTTAATAAAGAAAGCCAGATACATTATTGTACCTAATTAGTTGTTTTATTGTTAAGCTCTCCAATTGCACACAGTGTTGCCACAGGCTCTGAAAATTTCGTGCCAGACTATGTGTTATTTTTATGTAAAAAAAATAATAAAAAAAATATATATTTGCGATGTTCAAATCGCTTAGGTGTGATTCAAATTCTTTAAATTTGTCAGAGATCAAAGAGAAAAACGTTGCTGTTCGCTTACCTTCTTCTGGGTGCACTTTCCATCCAAATGACACAACCCTTTTGGCTTGCGGGTAGCGTCGATGTGATTTTTCGCGGTAGATAAGATATTTTCAAGTTATTTCTTCAATTTTTGGGAAGCGGAATCGGATCGCGGTTGACACGGCGGTATCTTGCTCACATCTCTCTTTTCGAGTCCGGACCCGGAGCCGCGCGCATGCACCTTTTATCGGTTTAGCGAACAGGTAATCGCGCAGTAAATAAATATTTTTTTTTACTACTAACCTGAGAAATAGTCATTATTCAATCTATTTTCCTGGGCAAAAATTGAATTTCTCTCCCTAGGTTAATAATGAAAATAATGAAAAAATACCTAGGTCAATAATGAAAATGACGTCATGACGCAAGGATATTGTCATAACGTAACAGGTTTCTATTGGTTTAATTTCAATTTTATACACTGTCAATTTAAAACAAAGCAGGTTCCTGTATGTATATTATAGAAAATTACAATAAGCTGTTGATAGAGCGCAGCACTTCCGACAAGAAAAAATTATTTGAGCACAGATTTACAACCTATTTTTTATTTTCTAGTAGCAGTAGTAAAAAAAATTCTATATATCCCTCGGTAGAGAAGGTCATTATATACCTTACGCATTATAATGACCAACTTCTCTACCTAGGCATATAATGTACTATTAAATTTAAATATTAATATTAGGGACCTGCAAATCTTTTGATTTGCTCAATTGATATTGAATAGAAAGTTTAATTCAATTTTTAACATATTCCCCCACCAATTTTGCAACCCAACTTGCAAAATTAATAAAAAGTCGAAATTACATATTGTTATGTAAATTGAAAAAAAAAAAAAAAAAACTTAAAAATGAAAAATAATAATTACAAATAAACCTATATACAATAAATCCAACAGAGCACTTAATTGTCCGGAAGAGGACATAGCTTGACCAGAGGTCGATTATAGACACCCTGATTAGTGCGAACTTCTGCCATTCTTACAACACCATCTTTACCAGGAAATACCTGCGTGATTCTAGCTAATTTCCATTTCATGGGAGGCAAATTATCTTGTTTAATAAGCACAAGAGTTCCGACCTTAATTTGTGTTTCTGGGTTAAGCCATTTAGATTTCTGTTGTAGCGTATGAAGATACTCTAAATGCCATCGTTTCCAAAAATCATTATGAAATCTTAGTAAAAGTTGATAGCGGTCAAGTCGATTTATGTTCAGATGTGTTACATCAGGATCTGGTAAACAAGTTAAGGGTTGCAAGGTTAAAAAGTGCCCAGGAGTCAATACACTATAGTCATTGGGATCGGAGCTAACTGAGCAAAGCGGTTTTGAATTATGAATTGACTCTATTTGAATTAAAACAGTGTTAAGTTCTTCATAAGTTAGAACTTGGGAACCTATTACACGAGCTAAGTGTGTTTTTACGGATTTAATTCCAGATTCGTGAATACCCCCCCAGTGTGGAGCATGAGGCGGAAGAAAGACCCATTTAATTTTTTCCGAAGAGGAGATATTTTGCATTATTTCTAAGAGATATTTATTAGTACCAGTATAATTGGTACCGTTGTCACTTATTATTTGTGTACAACGGCCTCGACGTGCTATAAAACGCCTTAAAGAGCATAAAAACTTCTCAGTAGATAAATCACTGCACAACTCCACATGTATGGCTTTTGTTGCGCAACAAACAAATAAACTAATATATGCTTTCACCTTTTTTGCCCCTCTATATTTTCCCATAGTTATAAGAAATGGACCTCCAAAATCAATTGAAACAACTGAAAAGGCCTTAGCTTGAGTGACGCGGTGAATGGGTAAACTACTCATAGGAGGTGTCAAAACGGAAGGATTTAATCTCCAACATTTAAGGCATTTAGAAAGAAGTTTTCTGATCGCTCGGCGGGGCGAAAGAATCCAATAGTTCTGTGCTAAAAGAAATTGCATGGTTTGTAATCCAGGGTGAAAATGCTTCTTATGGGTATCTTCCATTATTAAATCGGTTAATCTGCATGACCGTGGTAAAATAATAGGGAATTTTTTATCATAATCTAAAAGCGAATTTTGTAAGCGTCCACCCACACGCAAAATTTGCTTGTCATCAAGGAAAGCGCTTAATTTTCGAAATGGTTTCGAAGGTAATTCTTTGTTCAAAATACTAGTTATTTCATTTCGGAAAAATAATTGCTGAACGCGTTTAATAATTATAAAAAGAGCAGATTGGAAATTGTACTGATCAAAAGGCGCAGTTAGTTTGTCTTTTGGATTCGTTAGATTAAAAATAAACCTTTGCGCATAGCAAATTATTCGTAATATCTTGTCTAACGAAGAGTATTTATCACTTAAAATATCGATATAAAAAGACGAATTTAATGTTGTCAACGCCGTTTTTCTTTCTTCATTGCTAATATCGATGGAAATTTTTGAATTAGGAAAGTTATTTGTAGGCCATTGAGCTATGGGTTGGTTTTAAAATTCCGGACCCACGAACCAAGTTGAGTTTTTAATAAATTCTTGGGGAAGCTGGCCCCGAGATGCGCAATCGGCGATATTTAAATGAGTCGGAACATGAAGCCAAACTGCCTTTGGTAACATTTCCTGAATTAGTGAAATTCTATTAGAAACAAATGGCTTCCACCGATGGGGTGATGAGTGTAGCCAATGTAGAACTACGGTAGAATCAGAAAAGGTATATGTATTTTCAAAAGATATACGATTCGAGTAGGTGTTTA